TTGATCTTGCTGGTGCATCCATTATGCCTTGTCTCTGCTAACATGGAAGGTAAGTGTGTGTATTTGTTTTTTTTTTGGTGTTTGTATCTGCTTCTTGCAATCAAGGACAGAGGATACTTAGGGTTTGGGGGGTTATGGCCCCTGAGTTATGGAAGAGGATATATATATATATATATATATTGTTATACACATCAGGTGTTTGATCAATTATTTCATTGAATGGACTTCCTCTTTTAGATTTTTTTTTTTTTTGTGTGTAGTGTTTTTTTTGTAGGAGCAATTAATTAACTTAATCTCTTTAATTGTTGATTAATTTACATACAACTAATTTAAGCTACAAGGAAGTAATATTTATCATTTTGGGTATTTAATTACATATAGAATAGACTTTAAAAAGAAGATGGGCTTATGGGATAAAAACAGTGTTGAAGAGGAAAATATTTGTTTATCTTGAAATTAAAAAAAATTAATTTAGTACAAATTTTTAGTAAAGAATACTGTAGATGAAATATTTAGTAAATTTATCTATATATGTTATTTTTATCATATCATTTATAGCACTAATATATTTATTTGTAATAGAAAAAAAATTTTGCAGCCTCTCTAAAATCTTAGTCAAGCTCTGTACCTTCATGCAATTCATTTCTGTTTTGCTTTTTCACCTTTTAGAAGTTTGACCCCTGTTTTTCAACATGTGTTGACTTTTGTAAATGATTTTCATCCATTCTTTCATGTAATTAAGATGACTTACGAATAATTTTTTGTATTAAATTGGCTATTTTTATTCATTTAGAATCTATAATATTGAATGCATCTACTTATTTAATGACATAAAAATTATATAAAAATTGTCCCAATATCACTATCCTTCTTTTATTTCTTTGAAGGGTGGGATGGAATCTGCTTATTCCAACTAGTATCTCTTCTTTTTCTGGCTATAATGGGCATTTAACTATTTATGATATCTTGAATTATTCCTCTTCAACTTTTCCTTGTTTTGTTTCTGAGAATTATAGTTTAAATTTTGAGGGGCTTAATCTGATGAGATGGGGACCATTCTATTTACCGAAGCAGGCAAAATCTCATGGCTTTAAAATCTATTACATATTTTTTTAGTTACAGTCCATGTCTCCAGATTAGTTTTTGTGCAATTTAAAACTATTTCCTCTTCGATTGATTTTAAGGATGTATATCCATATCAATCTAATATATTTAAGAAAACTAATTCCTTTTGGTATTAGTCCTAACACTTAAACCTGAACCCTACCTTCTAAAACAACAATCCAACCCTTGGAGTTAGAATCTATTACATTTATTGAAATAGCTTTATCAATTCTTTTGGAGTATATCTTAAGGAAAATGATTTTCAAAGAACACCCTCTATCAAATGCTCAGATTATGAATTTGTGTACTTCTCCCTGCCAATTTAACTGACTCGTTAGTTTTTATTTGCCTGAAGTTCCAACCATGATTTGAATTCTTGTTACCATCTGTTGTCTCCTACAATTACTAGAATTTTTATTTACATTTGATTTCATTTCCTGTAAATCTTTGAAGATTTCGTCTCTGCAACTTTTTATCGATCAAGTAAGTTGCTTCAAGCTGTGATGCATTCTCTCTTTTTTCTTTTTTCTTTTTTTTTTTTTCTTTTTTTACTAATCCCTTGATATGCAAAAACCATATTAGATTTGAATTAATGTTGAGTCAAATCATGTTGAACCGCACAAGGGAAAGCTCCCCTCATATTTGTTTTTCCTTTCATAAGATTCAAACTTAAAGATCTTGTTTAGAGGAACCGAGCTCCCAGTGATGCATTCTCTTGATTAGTACATTGGGAGTAATAGTTCTGGGGATTGGACATTAATATATTTTCTAGTTTAACCTTGTGTTTACTTCTGTTATGGTATGTATTTGCCTGTTTTGCTTAATTAATTTAATCTCATAGTAACTCTGCCCACACCTTGTAACAGGTGATGCACTAAATAGCTTGAAGACCAACTTAAATGATCCTAACAATGTCCTGCAGAGCTGGGATCCTACCCTTGTCAACCCGTGCACATGGTTTCATGTTACATGTGACAATGATAATAGTGTAACTCAAGTGTAAGTTTTTTTCTCTTAGTTGTCCTCTGAGTGTTTGGTTACCACTCAACATCTTGAGTTATTTATTTATATTTATTTAATATTGAATTTGCATTGTGTTCTCTGTATGATGGCTGTTTTGTGGATTTTTCAGTCATCTTCTAGGTGCATCTTTATCTGGGCAACTAGTTCCACAGCTGGGACAGCTTAAGAATTTGCAGTCCTTGTAAGTCGTGCCTTGCCCTGAAATACTGTGATTGTCATTTATTTGGTGTGTGTGCGTCGCTCTCTCTATCTCTCTATGTGTGTGCACGCCTGCATGCCAAAAGAAAATCCTGTGTTTTTGTGCTGTCTAATGCAAAAATAGCACTTTTCATGTTAGGTTTTAAACACGCAGAACTTATGGACCAAACCAGTGAGGAATCCCAAAATTTTAGACTTTTGTTTAAGGATCTAAACCAATTGCTGCTTTAAGCATCTGGAAGAATATCTAATCAGGAACTTGTTCGTGTAATTTGTGGCTAGGTTACATTTTCCACCTCTTGATTGAAGTGTCAATCTTGATTAAACTTGACTGGTTTCTAAGTGTAACTGAACTGTGATCATGTTCCTTTTATAGTGTGAAAATTGTCAAATATTGAGAAAATTAAGAATATCTGTATATAGAAAACAGGGATTTATATGTAATAATCAAGGGCTTGTGGTTGTGAAAACATGAAAATTAGCCAAACGGCAGGATTCATTGATTAATGTAGAGGATTGTGCTCATATGTTCTATGGAGCTCAGTTGCATATAGATTATGAGATATTCAACTGCTGGTGTTTTTCTCTTTAACATGATGAGTTGCATTCTTAGTTCTTATCTTTCAAATGATGGGTTCTGAAAGCAGTTCGTTCAAGTTCTTTCAACTTTTGCATTAGTATTCATCCAAGTAATTCGAATTCTAGTCTTATGAGCTTTCTTTGACAGATAACACATTATTAGTTTTCTTTGACATTTTGAGCTTTGATGTTGATGACAGGGATCTCTCCAATAACAATATAAGGGGACCAATTCCTAGTGAACTCGGAAATTTGGCAAACTTGGTCAGCTTGGATCTTTATTTGAATAGTTTTACAGGTTCTATTCCAAAGTCACTGGGGAAGCTGTCTAAGTTGTATCACCTGTAAGTATTTTTATCTTAATTATTGTGTGCTTGCCTGGATATGCTTAGAATCTTGTGCTTGATGCAGATAATAAAACATACATGTTCCAAAGCAAATTGAAAGGAACTTAGAGAACTGAAGGAGCTTTAAGTTCAACCTTTTAATGCATTTTGCACTGTTACATTTCTTAGGCACTCATTCTCACCGACACACCCAAAAACACATTGATTGGTTTAGTTCTTAACTTGTCTCATTGTCACAATGTTTGTGAAAGGATAGTCGGCTTAACAACAACAACTTGACGGGTCCCATTCCAATGTCATTAACCAATATCTTGTCGCTTCAAGTATTGTGAGTACAAACTATAAATTGGACTTATTGATTATCTCTTTCCTCCTCACCAACTCTCCCTTACTGTTTCTTTTTATGACATTATTCTGATTGCAATACCCTCGTGCTATAAATGGCATCATAATATGCAGGGATCTGTCTAATAATCGTCTTTCTGGAGAGGTTCCAGACAATGGCTCCTTTTTACTGTTCCATCACGACAGGTAATTTCTTGTAATTTGAATGCTTCATATCTTGAATGACTTATTTTGCATGTCATTCTTATGGTTCATTATTTCTAATGCAGTTTTGCTAATAACTTGGACCTATGTGGCCCTGTTATTGGGCGCCCTTGCCCAGCCCCAATTTCTTCTTCAAGTAATCTTCCTAATTTCACAACGTTGAACTCGTGTTAAATGCTTATATCATTTCTGTGCTCCAAGTAGTATCCATCATCCACAGCATGATTTGTCAAATGACTCGCACCTTGTCCCATTATTTGGTCTTAATAATTTTTATCTGTGGAGGACAAGTTATTCAAAGTTTTGCTTAATAATTTTTCCATCATATCAAATTTAGCAATTGTTGGAGCAATCTCTGGTGGTGCTGCCTTGCTTTTTATTGTCCTAGCAATTGCATTTGCATGGTGGCGATGGAGGAAACCTCAAGAACTTATCTATGATGTACCCGGTTAGTTTTCTTTGGAAATTCAATGCATTCAAGTTCAATTAAAACATGGAAACTAACTACCTTCATCACACATTTCCGCCTCTATGCGGATGAAGGGGATCCAGAAGTCCATCTGGGGCAGCTTAAAAGGTTTTTGCTGCGAGAATTACAAGCTGCTACAGATAATTTTAGCACAAAAAACATTCTGGGTAGAGGTGGATTTGGAAAAGTTTACAAAGGATGCTTAGCAGATGGTTCACTTGTGGCTATAAAAAGACTAAAAGATGCGCATACACCTGGTGGTGAGCTGCAGTTTCAAACAGAAGTGGAAATGATCGGCAGGGCTGTGCACCCAAATCTCTTAAGGCTGCGAGGCTTTTGTATGACTCCAAAAGAACGATTACTTGTATACCCCTATATGGCTAATGGAAGTGTAGCATTATGTTTAAGAGGTAAATCATGTTAACATCATACTTCAATGAATGATTTGTTGTTATCACTTGTTTGTTGAATTATTTTTTGTAACCAACTATCCACGTAAACCCTCTTATCTTGTGATGTTCTGATAAAACATACCTGTAGAGCATCCTCCATCGCAACCTCCTCTTGATTGGCCAAGTAGGAAGCGAATTGCATTGGGATCTGCTAGGGGTCTGTCATATTTGCATGATCACTGTGACCCAAAGATCATTCATCGTGATGTGAAAGCTGCAAATATCTTGTTGGATGAGGAGTTTGAAGCTGTTGTTGGGGACTTTGGGTTGGCTAAACTAATGGACTACAAGGATACCCATGTAACTACTGCTGTGCGTGGCACAGTTGGACATATTGCTCCAGAGTACATCTCTACTGGGAAATCTTCGGAGAAAACTGATGTTTTTGGATATGGGATTTTGCTTCTAGAACTTATAACTGGGCAGCGGGCCTTTGATGTTGCTCGGCTTGCAAATGACAATGATGTCATGTTGCTTGATTGGGTATGTGTGCTTCTAATTCTCTCTTTTC